TTATATATATATATATATATATATATATATATATATATATATAAGTCCTTAAACCCACTGAGGTAATTTTACAAATGATAATCCTGATTTTATTTGAAAGGAAATTCCAATGAGTGTCTCCAAAAATCTAATCACTTCACCTTTTCTCTCTCAGGAAACTTGTCATCCTTATTTGCTTTATGCATCCAATGTAGACTTTGTAAACGAGTCTCGCTTGTCGTGTTCGTATCAACATCATACCTATTAAATTGACAGGTGAAATATATCAAATATGAACACGACACGTTAAAATAACGAATCACATGACACAACTCATTTCACCCAAATATGAACAAGACACGTTAAAAACATAGAGACTAATTTAGCCAATGTAGTAAAACACATGGACTATCTTAGCATTTAAAACATAAAACTTAAGAGCTTAATAATTTAAATATTGGGGGTAAACAAATAAAACTTCTTCTATTTTTCAAAGAATCGTCAACAGTTTTTTTTTCCTTTGGTCTGAAAGAATCTTCAACTGTTTAAAAGAAAGAAAGTCTGAAAATGAGTTCTGAGCTTTTTCTGGCACATCATCATGTCGAACAAAATAGAGGGCTTCAACTTCGACCAGAGGCATGGGAAGCAGAGGGTGAGGGTAGCTAGGGTTTGGCGGAGCGAAAATGGACGCCATTCCATCGTCGAATGGAACGTCGGCATCAGCCTCTTCACCGATTCGGTGCTTGCCTATACCCGCGACGACAACTCCGATCTCGTCGCTACCGATACCATGAAGAACACTGTAAGGGCTTCTCTGATCTGATTCACTGTTCGATTGGATTTCGGTTTGCTCTGTTTGGTTGCTGAGAAAATTGAATCCCTCGATGAACATGAAGAATTTACATGCTTTACTTTTGCCAACCGGTTTATAGATCAACTAGTTTTCAAACCTGGAGTTGCATACATGATGTTTTTTTTCCCCTTAACAATTTAATTTGTAATTGACAGCAGCTGAGCATGTTTTTCAGCTGGAAATGAAAAAAACTGGTTGTATCTGGGAATGAAGACATTAAGCTTTGTATTGGTAAACAAAAAATATGCATATATCTTTATATTTTAATTTTTTAATATACGGCCATTTCAAGCATAAACCCATAATCTAATGGTCAACACAGTAACCAAAAATGGAGCGATTAAAGAACTTAGCAGCTAACACGGCTGCATATGGACAGAAAAAAAAACATATAAACAATGTTTGTTAGGTTTCCCATTGCTTGAACCTGCTGTATTTCCAGAATTTAGATTGCTATTCATTTTCAGGATTTAACTTAGTTGCAGAACAGGTGTATGCAAAGGCTAAGGAATGTGTAGAAGAACTGTCAGTGGAAGACTTTGCAATTAGACTTGCTAAACACTTCACATCTCTTTACCAGCAGGTAAATACTATTAAAGTTTTTTTTTCGACATTCCCTCAGTTAATCCCATACTGTAAAGAACAAGAAAATTCGGTTGATACCATTATCACTGCTGAAATGCTGGTCATTTGTTGTTGTTGTTGTTGTTGTTGTTATTGTTGCTCGGGTCTTATACTTATAGAAGAGAATTTTGCAACACATGATAGCATTGGTGTAGAAATTGGTTCCTTTTTAAATTTGATTGGTTGTCTTAAATTTTGGACCTTTTTCTTCCTTTTTCTTTTGTAATATTTGATGTTGTAATTAGGTGGTGAAGGACATCTGTTCTTATTTTTGTAGGTCACTGCTGCTATAGTAAAGATTGTGGAGAAGCCATGGGAGCGTGTATCCATAGATGGTCAACCACATGAACATGGTTAGTCTATTTCCAGTCTTCCATAGAAGTGTGGGGCAAACTATACGGCTATATATGATATCTACTGAATTCGTTTTGTCATGACTTTGTAACCAGAATACTTGGGAATTCATAATCAAAGGAACCTCTCATTTCTCAACACTTAACATATATTTTTTTCTATTATGTAAAAGTAGCAAATAAACAGCACTTCTCATCAATTTCTTTAATCAGAAAGGGATACCTTGTCTTCAGAAAACGGGTTAAAATCAGACAGTTATAAGGAAAATTCCTAACTTCTTGCACAACCGAGGACTAAGGCGTCAAAATAGGATGCACTTGTTTGTACACTTGGATTTCACTTCCTTAGCATTCTTTTGTACAATCTTATTACTTATAGAAAGAACTGATAAATTAAGTTGAATGGTTGATACCACATTTTGGAATTCCATAATGCGTGAGACATTTACTTTTTAATTCATCATTTCACCTATAATTTGCATTTAGCAATTATTTTATTTTATAATAATATTGTTTCATTATTTAGCTAAAAATTACCTTAAGTTGCAAATTAAACAGTGATAAGTCGAAGTTATTCATTAATAATTTGTTGTCAAGTTGTTTTTAGAGAAGGGGTCAAGAGATGACATGTTGGATGTCATGTCTGTGGCTTGTTGCCTCAGTCTTAAATCTGGTTCTGTAGCTATCTTGCTCATTCTAAACTTGAATAGAATCCCTTATATTTCCTATATATTCTGCAGATATTCCAAGCACATTGATTTGCAATCCAGAAAACATCCTTTCTTTCCTCTTTTTATCTATTTTAAATTTTCATTGTCTTCCTTGTTAAAAGGTTTCAAATTAGGATCTGAGAAGCATACAACAGAGGTAATTTTAAAGAAATCTGGTGCATTGAAGGTGACTTCTGGTATTGAAGGACTGGCTCTGCTAAAGACAACAAAGGTAATCTTATCCAATTCGCTATTAATATCAAGGTTTTCAAAATTGAACACGTAATGCGACGATGGATATCATAATCAATTACATACTACATTTTTTTCTAATTCAGTCTTGACAAGAAATCAGCGATTGTAATCATTAGTTTGTTATTGAGAAGACAATGCTGACATGGAACACTTCCTGAACTGTACAGTGATCAAACCCCAAAGGGCAGAGCAAAAATTAACTCGATCCGAAACTTCATCCACATACATGCCCATGAATAATCTTAAAATGTCATTCAATTTTTTTCTTTTTTTTGAGCTATGTCATTCTATTTTGCTCCATCTGTATGACCCAAAAAAACTGCCATGACCCTGCTACCCAATGAGTTTTAGCTATCCTACTGTAAACATATGTTGTGACATCTTTTTGGAATTACCCAACTTGCATGGGCCTCCTTAAACAATTTCCCTCAGATCTGTAACGCAAACGAACAATGGAGAAAAACATGATCTATACTTCCTTTCCCAGCCTTACAAAGAATATGCCATTAAGGGAAAAGATAATATACAGCCCTCGCAGAATCTGATAACAAAGCATTAAGTTTCCCATTAGCCACCCATAATGCAAGAACTTGAATCTTAGGAGGAACCTTTGCCTTCCAAATTGGATTAAAAGGGTGAAAACATGATATCAGATATCATTAACACACGCTATTGTTTCAGATTCTGTAAGACTTGCATGAAAGTGTCCCCTAAATTTCTAACCGCCAGCCCCTTAAATTCCCCCTTGAAGGAAATGAACACATACCTTATTATGCTCATGATATCATTAACACACGCTATTGTATTACTACACTCAAAGGAGAGAGAGTATTGCATTGCAGACACTCATCAGCCACTTATGAGTTGTATCATTTCTCTCATGATATCATCAACACGTAGTTGTATTATTACGCTCAAAGGAGAGAGAAAAAGTATTGCATTGCAGACATTGCAAGCCAATATAGTTTGGGAACTCTTAAACTGCTATTTGCATATTGGTCTACATGTGTGTTCTTTTCCTCTGCTGATTATTAAGTTTGTTTGGTTGATACTGCTGATTTTTAATTTTGATTTGAGCAGTCAGGTTTTGAGGGATTTATTAGGGACAAATACACAGCTCTTCCTGACACGCGTGAGAGGATTCTGGCTACAGATCTCACTGCATCATGGACGTAAGCATATTTTTTCTTTTCGTTTTTGTGACTTGACATAATTGTTAAGTTGAATTCTAATATTTTTGGCTATCCCTCTTGGTTAAGACAAATCCTTGTAACTGAGATAAATGGATGCAGGTATCCGTACGAATCTATTTATAGCATCCCTCAAAAGCCGCTATACTTCACAGAAAGATACTTGAGTGTGAAAAAAGTTCTGGCTGACACTTTCTACGGTCCTCCAAAAGGAGGAGTATACAGCCCCTCTGTCCAAAGCACTCTTTATCACATGGCAACAAATGTTCTCAAGGGGTCTCTCTCTCTCTCTCTCTCACATTCCTGTACCCATATGTCCTTGCTTTTCTGTGTGGCATTTTGTTAAGTAAAATTTTTATGTTCATGATTTCAGGTTTCCTGACATCGCAACAGTACAACTGAAAATGCCAAATATTCATTTCTTACCTGTTAATCTATCTAACAAGGATAATACTATTGTGAAGGTAAGACTCCTCCTTTGCATTTATATCTGTAACAAGGTTAATACTAACATAGTGAAATCTCAGTCAATTCCTGTTTAGTTTCTGATATCCATTACCTGACTTTGAAATGTTCTGTGTCACTGTTGATTTGAATGTCCTGTTTCTTTTGCATTATTGGAATGGGTGTTTCCTGTGCTTTATGGGTCAAAT